ATCATTTGATACACTTATATTTGATACCACTTACGTTTGTGCATCAGTTCTGATCGTGCATCCAGAAATTCTTTAAGTCGCTATTGAAGTTTCAATCGAGGTAAAAATTCCCACCTCCAAGGTATACCTTTTGGCTTTCCGGTTGTTCCAGAACTACAAATCAAATAAGAGTTGTTAATAAATTGGTTCAATTTCACAATTATTGATTAAGCAGAGCGATAAGGTTTATATCCCTATCACTAACAATAAGTGATATAATCGTTCATAACCAAGCCGGTTTAATATTATTAACAGCATAAAGCCAAGCGAATGTGATGAATAGAACTGATGTTAGTAATGACGAATTGTATAACGGCAGATTTCATAATATAACAAGTTCTGAAAGTTCCTACCACGAAAAAGTTCAAGGAAATATAATGTTTTCTGGATGGAATAATACGATTAATGAAATGGATGCACTGTATGAAATTAACCAAAATGAATTTGATTTTGGAAATCAAATTGAAGGTGAAAATAACTTTATAATGAATCTGGAAGGTGCTTACCATGAAGAATTTCAGAACAATGCAACTTTCCGTAAGTGGGATTACGTGGATAATATATTTGATGCACTGTATAATAATAGCCAAGCTGTTGATGTTAGTATCGGTAGTAATGCGCTAAATGATACGAATAAAACTGACTATGAAAAAAATGAAATGGAGAATCTTGAAGGATATCAGCATTATGAATTACAAGAAGGCTTGATGTTTCATAACTGGGAACATGCTATGAATGAAATCAAAAAGTATAAAAAAAGAGAAAGGTTTAGAACATGCTGTTATCGTATTGAAAAATTGAAAAATAGGGAAGTCCGGAGACGTACGTTGGTTTGTGAACATTTTGGGCACCTTGAAGCAACAAAAAGTAAAGATCCAAGAAAAGAAACAACAACAAAATGTGTTGGATGCATATGGCAAATAAATTTGTCATGTCCAAAGAAAGATAATCCTTACAAGCTCGTATATGTTGCAAAATTAATTAATAAACATAAAAATCATGACCTTGATCAAGCGCGTTACAATTTTCAGGAAAATATAACATTCACAACAGAGATGACTGAAGATGTTAAATTCTTTGTAACAAAGATGAATTGTAGCCCCCAGCAAATCCGTAAAGCTCTTGAAGAAAAATATTTTGTCAAGGTCTATATGCCAGTGCTGCGACAAGTAATTCAACGATTTCGTCCAAGATTACGCGACCAGACTAATGATGCCAGCCAATTATATAAGGAGTTGCTAAGTAAGAAAGAAGTTGATCCTTGGTGGTATGTTGAAGTAGATTGGGATCCTAATAGTAAATGCCTTCGCCGATTATTCTATATGTCCCCTGACCAAATTAAACAGTGGTTGAAGTTTGGTGACATTGTTCTGAATGACAATACTAGCGCTACTAATCGTTATGAAATGGTGTTGTCACTTTTTTTAGTGGTTGACAACCATTTATCTTCCAGACTTGTGGCTCAGGCATTAACAGATGATGAAACAAAAGATGCACATAGCTGGATTTTGCAGCAAATCAAACACGCAACAAATGGGGCTACTCCACAGGTTATTTTTACCGATGCAGACCCTGCCTTAGTCACCGCAATACACGATGAATTTCCAACTACAAATGCTCTTCATTGCATGTTTCACATTGCGCAAAATATACCTCTAAACTTGAAAAATTATCTTAAAGACAATTATGATGAGTTTATTAGAGATTTCTTCGAAGTACAACGAAATAGCTTTATTGCAATGTTC